CAGAGTTTTTAACTTTTACAGATATTTGATAGCAAGCACTAACACATGCACCTAGCTTTTAGATTTATGTTCGTTTAATTTTAAGAATTAAGAAAGCAATTTTCGTCGACAGCTGTACACTATTCTTCCCAATGAACTGCAATACTGCGCTGCAACGACATAGCTACATACTGTAAGAATTAAAAAAAAACGAAGATGCCGAAATATCTGCGAATAAATATGTTATTTTTTTCTTTTTTCTTTTTTATTGCCTAGATGTGTGGACGAGCTCACAGACCACCTGGTGTTAAGTGGTTACTGGAGCCCATAGACATCTACAACGTAAATGCGCCACCCAACTTGAGATACAAGTTCTAAGGTCTCAGTATAGTTACAACGGCTGCCCCACCCTTCAAACCGAAACGCATTAACAGGAATTGATACAATATGGTCGGTCTCATTCTGTCAAAACGAGTGTTCGATTCAAATTTCCCCCTACCTACTCACTAGTAGTCTAGGGGACTTTTTTTTATTGCCCATGTAGGCAGAGGAGCATACGGCCCACTGGATGGTGAGTGGTTACCGTCGCCCATGGACTTCAGCAATGCCAGGGGCAGAGCCAAACCGCTGCCTACCTATTCCAGCTACGCGCTGACGGGTAGGTGAGCTCACGGGCTCAACCTGAGAGAATTTGTTAACACTAGCCCTAGCAAGAGCAGTGCTTTACAGAATACCTACCTACTCAGTGGGCTCGATTCAAACACTTCACAGACATAAACATTCTCGTCCTTATTCTGTCTGCTTAGCATGAAATTTAAAACGCTTAAGTTTACCTAAACACAGAACTAGTTTTAACTTTAGCGTCGTTTATCGGCTGTATTCACGCTTTTTTATAGACAATAAAAAGCACATGGCTTGTTCGAACAAATAAGCAAGACGCCGCTGTGGATAACACTTTTTAAGTTAATTAATCAATACGGGCACTTTTGTTACAGAGTTTTCTTCGTTGATCAATCAACGCGTAAACACCAGCTATGAGCTGCTTACAAAAATTTGAAAATGGGGTTAGACCCAGCCCAACGCCGAAACAGAATTCATCATCATCATCAGCCTGCGGCAGTCCACTGCTGGACATAGGTCTCCCCCAAAGCTCAACAGATTTAACGCATACTGGACCTACAGTGGGTTTCCAGCTTGTATTTTTACATGAACGCTCTGAGCCCGTCACTGGAATGAACTCTGTTTCAGTAGCTTTACTTGAGCGACACAGTTGCTTAGTTCTTCTCGTCCAACACGTCCCTTGCGACGAAGGGCTCGCCCAGTAAATTAACCCACAGACACAGCACAGTTTGTCGCCGGATCTTCTCAGTGGGTCGCGTTTCCGGTATTAGATTCAGCAAAGCACTGCTCTTGTTAGGGTTCGTCGCCAGGTTTGAGCCACGTGAGCTCACTTACTTGTTAGGGTTACACTGACATAGCCTCTTAAGTCTATCAGCTTAGGTAGGAAAAAAAACAATTTATTCTTCTTCAAACGAGGCTTAAAAAGATTCTTAAGTGCTTGCTGGCCGGGTATACTCCTAATAGTACTGATAATAATTCCGGATATCGGTTACCGCTCCGTGATATACAAATCTTACTTCGTATTCAAAAGGCAACGTTCTGTTAATCTGTTTATGATACGGTACGGGAAACTTCGTGACATCTACGGAGTGGCCTGGTGGCCCGAAAGTTCATCTGCCCGTTTAAGACGGAAAATGATTCTGTAGAGCTTTCTCCGCCATATGGCTTTTTGACAACGACCATGCCGTAGGCTGTTTGTCCAATGTCCAATTTAATAATGAACTAGACGACGACGATTATTTTTTGATAAATTGTGTTTTTCAGAAATTATATTTAAATACGAATTACATATTGATAGAATGATGAAATATTCGAAGATCGTTTAGGCATTTTTAAGTGAACACGTGAGTTAAAAAGACACAAATAATATAAATAAACAATTCATTTTCTTAGTCTAACCTTAAACCAAACACTCATTGGCTTCGGGTGTCTTTAAAGGAGTTAGTTGCTCTCAATTATGAAAAATAGTATTATTATTCGCCAATAGATGTCAGGAAGAGTCATAAAGTTGATTATCGATAAAGTTGATTATTGAACACACGAATAAAACAACATTTTCTGAAAATAAATCGTAGCCAGATCGATTTATCGCCCCCGAAATCCCGTGTATACTAAATTTTATAAAAATCGTTGGAGCCGTTTCCGGAATTGCTCGTTTAAAGATATAAGACAAGTATAAACGATTTTAGCCAAAAAAAAACAATGAATTATGAGCACTCGTGAACTCGACACGTGACGTACGTACTGACGAGTTTGCATGCAAATCTCTGTGTCACACATTACTAGTGGTAGTAAAAAAACACGCGTTATTAAACGAGCCACGTCTTCCTAATAACAAGGAAAATAAAACAGATTTAGTAACTTGGAACGAATTCCAGCGCATTTTACATATATTTAGGATCGGTATCAGATCGCCGCCAAGGACAATTAAAAATTTGAAATTTTAATTAGATTACACCGGATAGACTGAGTGTGTCCAATTCAGAAGGTCGAAACGTCAGTAAATTAACTACATCCTACTAGAGGTCCCGCAGTAGTCGAAATTCGACTATAACTAATTGGAATTGTAAGTTTGTACACTATTATGATTGTATTTTATACTTCTATAATCACAAATTTCGGCAAGACTACAATATAAAAAATATTAACAACGACAAACAATATTTAATCTATTCTCAATTTGACAACAGACGTCAAGAACAAAAGTTTGACAATAAATAGTATGAATGCGTGTGTGCGTCAAATACATGGTACGTAGTGTGTGTAATGTTTTCTTTATTGATTTAATATATCTTTTATGCATTATTTTAAAAAAATATTATCATTGTGCACATCTTCTCTATATTCTCTATAAGTGTGGAAAATTTCATACTCCTCCGTCCGCGCAATTTTCGTAAAAAGGGATACAAAGTTTTTTGCTTCACGTATTAATATATAGATTTTAGTATAAAGCTATAATATACGAGTAAAACAGTGACGCTTCGCTGTGTGTAATCATGGAAATTCACTTGTTTCTGCTGATACGGTGCGTCCGCCGCTCCGTACATACCCTGAAGCACGACCATGATCACAAAGTATCGAATCAATCAGAGAAACGACTCGCGTCCGCATTAACCAACCGAATTAATTTATATTTGATAAAATAGAAACGACACACAAATATTTGCTTAGAAATCATTTCGATGGAAGAACAAATTAAAATTTGGCTAATGAATACGAAGGTTTTAAATTTACCTCAGGACTATAATGGTATATCTAAATCGAAAGCTTAATACTACCATCTTATATCCACAGAAAAGCAACGCAGTCCCATTTAAAATGTAGTACATATATCCATTAGTCTACTTTTTTAATAGATTTGGAGTGGAATTCATAGCTTGGGTGGTTACTGGTTACCGCGGCTAATGAATATCACACAATGAATGAGGGCACCCACCTTAAGGTGTCAAATCCTTAAGGGATCAAAGTCTCAATTGCACTGTGGTAGGACTAGACTAGAGTTTTTACTGTTGGTAGGACCTCTTGAGAGTCCGCGTGGGCAGGTACCACCACCCTGACTATTTCTGCCGTGAAGCAGTAATGCGTTTCGGTTTGAAGGGTGGGGCAGCCGTTGTATCTATACTGAGATCTTAGAACTTATATCTCAAGGTGGGTGGCGCATTTACGTCGTAGATGTCCATGGGCGAGTAACCACTTAACACCAGGTGGGCTGTGAGCTCGTCCACCCATCTAAGCAATAAAAAAAAACTGTACAACGGGTGTGTTGAGTTTGAACCTTCGAATCAGCACGCATGATTGCTTCCCGTGCGATATTTCAAAACCCAATGGATGCATCTATGAAGTCCGGATTGACAAAAATGAGTACCTGATCGGTTTCGTAATACAACGACCTCACTTCGGAATGCTTTATTTCGATGTATGTGATTTATATGGGTGTCGTAAAATTTTATTAAGCAACGCACATAATCGATTTTGACCTTTGAACATTGATGCGTTCATCGACCGGTTACTCTTGAAACACGTTGTGAAAAAAACAACTTTGAAATTACACGAGATGCTTGATTAAAAAATTTCATAATAAAATTTGAATGGAATTGATTATTTCATCTACAGGAATACAAGTCAGGAAATACTTTTATTAACAGAGTGCTTCGATTTGATAAATATTTTTAAGCTTCTATTCAAGTATCCAGTGACTCAAAAACTCATTAAGATTGTGCGCATATCGATAGTATTTATTAACTTTTCACTAACCTTTTGCACAATTTCTTTTCGTTTTTAACTTTGTTACGTGGTAACTACTAAGCTACTCTTGTAATTATATTTCTGAATTTCGTTTGTAATTTTACTTAAGTTTTTTTTTATTGCTTAGATGTGTGGACGGGATCACAGCCCACCTGATGTTAAGTGGTTACTGGAGCCCATAGACATCCACAACGTAAAGGCGCCACCCACCTTGAGATACAAGTTCTAAGGTCTCAAGTATAGTAACGACGGCTGCCCCACCCTTCAAACCGAAACGCATTACTGCTTCACGGCAGAAATAGGCAGGGTGGTGGTACCCAGCCGCGCGGACTCACAAGAGGTCCTACCACCAGTAATTACGCAAATTATAATTTTGCGGGTTTCATTTTATAACACGATGTCATTCCTTCACCGTGGAAGTCAATCGTGAACATTTGTTGAGTACGTATTTCATTAGAAAAATTGGTACCCGCCTGCGGGATTCGAACACCGGTGCATCGCTCAACACGAATGCACCGGACGTCTTATCCGTTAGGCCACGACGACTTTAAGTATGTATGTATTAGGTATGGGCACTCGTCGACTTAAGGCAAACGCCGCCAAACTATTCTGTTCAAAATGTGCCGCCTCAGTAGGAGTAAATTAAACAATACAGATTACTTAAACGTATGTATTGTCATCAGGATCGTATCACAGATCGCTTGGATTCTAATAACAAACGAAAACTTTTCAAATGAATGAGTATTTTTGGACTAGATGCTGGGGCCTGTTCGGTTGACTTAAGCCTTGGGAATGTGAGGTGCCGAAGGCTGGAATCCACCCTCGTTAGCGACGTAGGTCACAGCGTAAGTAACTCCGTCAGGGCCGATGTACGCAAATTCTCCGCGGACCTCAAGAGCTTCGTTTTCAGTGCCAATGTTCTTCAGTTGACCGGTTTCCTGAGCCTTGATTCCGTTGGAGGTTTCATAGCTGCCGGGAGAAAATCACCGATTATTTTCCTATTTTATTGAGTAACGACTCGGATTAGAGACACTGCTGAACGATATATTTCGTGTCATGCTTGCGGAGGATCAGCTTATTGGCCATTGACATAAATTATAAGAAAGCTGACTTGTATTACTAGTGGTAGGACCTCTTGTGAGTCACCCTGCCTATTTCTGCCGTGAAGCAGTAATGCGTTTCGGTTTGAAGGGTGGGGCAGCCGTTGTAATTATACTTGAGACCTTAGAACTTATATCTCAAAGTGGGTGGCGCATTAACGTCGTAGGTGTCTATGGGCTCCAGTAACCACTTAACACCGGTGGGCTGTGAGCTCGTCCACCCATCTAAGCAATAAAAAAATGTGCGCCTAAACTGTACCCAGAGAACGAACGCTACAGTAATTCAAACATTGTATTAGTGATCATTTTATTTAAAGAAATCTTACCCGGTGTTGTATCCTTCGACACCAATGTTGTCGTTGTCTTGTCTGATGACGACAGCGTCGGCATCAGGGCCGACTGGGGCAGCGACAGCTACGGCGACGAAGAGAGCGACAACGAAGAACTAGAAAAAAAATCGAACAATCAGGACCGAGTCGACATATCCATGGACTCACTTGTTTTATATCAGACTAGCTGACCCGGCAGACTTCGAATGCCTCAATCGATAAATAAAAGACCTAAACTTTTGTATAAAATAAACTTTAAAAAAAAACAAAAGGAATCCGTCCGACGGGGGACACATCAAAGGAAAAACAAATTGTTTGTTTTTATGTAATTCCGAGCATTTTCATATTTTTCACGAATAATTCAAGACCATTTTATGGCTAATTATAGCCAAATCGGTCCAGCCGCTCTCGAGTTTTAACGAGACTAACGAACAGCAATTCATTTATATATATATAGATTGGCAACTCTGAATTACGTGTGAAGGATAGCTAATGCCGATGAGTTAGAACTATTTTCCAATGTTGGCTTACTCGGATCAATGGTCAGACAATACATTTGAATACATTTAGCAAATTATACTGGTGTTAATTATGAATTCACATTTCACATAAAATAATAATTTGGAATAGTAATAAAAAGTAGACAGTTATCACGTACCGATTTCATTTTGATTGATTGTTTGTTTTGTCCTAAGACTGTTGTTTGAGGACAGTGAACGATTGACTGATGCTACGAAGATGCGCGCAGCGGTTTTTATACTCGGTCGGGCCATCGCCGCAGACGAGGACGTGCATTTTGACATTTGAACTTCAAAGATGTCCACTGAGCCTGAGTTGGATTCGCGCGCTTTTCGAAGTAATAAATTACAAGATTATAAACTTAAAATATTTCCCTGAGATTCTCACACGTCACAGCTGAGTTTTGAGAGCATTAGTTATTCATGCACAGCGACATAAGCTACGTGTTTTTCGATATGTGTGCACGTGTTTATTAAAACTCGATTTACTATAAAAATAACTCTGTTTAAACTTAGATGAATTGTAACATAATATGTCAGTGGAATCGATTTTCGATTCAGCATTTTAAGAATGAGTTACTTTTGCTTTCAAACTATTTGCTAAATCTGGTTTTGTCCTTAAAATAAATTATAATAAAAGAGCTTAATATTATTTTATTATATAATAATTTTAATATGATTTAAAAACGACAAACCAAGTGCTTTCTTTAAAAATTCGATAGACTTCCTTCCATTAACTTTCTAGACAATGAGTGAACTATGTATATAACGAGTAAGTTATAGATTTACACAGTAATTTTCGGATAGTTCACTATTCCAACAGATATAGTTCACGGTGCACCTAGTGTTAAGTGGTAACCGAAGTCCATAGATGTAGCAACGTGAATTATTATAACGGCTTTCTCCAGTTCGAAGTGTGGGAGCCGTCTACCGCATTACTGCTTCGCGGCAGAAATAGGCAGAGCGGTAGTACTACCCTTTCGTATTCATGGTACATCGTACGAGCAGATATGATGAGTTTATTTTGGACTTAGATGTAAATGCGTGTTACGTAGAGTTCCTACGTAGGGCTTATGGGGATTATAGTCTTAGGTGCACTTGTTACATAGGAACTTAGTGTACAAAACTGAAAAATAAGGGTACCTGCTAACGGGTGTTTTACCCGTTAATTAAAATGAATGAGGGATTTTTTTTTTATTTTTTTTTTATTGCCTTTGTAGGCAGACGAGCATACGGCCCACCTGATGGTAAGTGGTCACCGTCGCTCATGGACGTCAGCAATGCCAGGGGCAGAGCCAAGCCGCTGCCTACCAAACTGATTACCAAGCTGATTACTGGTAGCCCGGAGGCCTTTCCAGTTTTATCAGGACAGGTGGACGAGCAAAGGCTCAAAGGGTGGGATTTGCTAACAGCTGCCCGAGCGCCTCCGAAGAAGACCCTAACAACTCAAGAGCAGCTGCTTTGCGAATGAATCTACTACCGGATCGGAATCGCGTTCAATACTTCTATTAAGTCTAAAGGTGAACAGACGATATTGGTTTTCGCTTTGTTGACAGATTTTTTAAATAAATAAACTAGGTATTACGAATGGAAAATCGGATAGTATTCCCGAATCGTCTGATAATAAAGAGGGTTAATATAGGCAGCAAAAGCTTATTCGCCGAATCACAAGACAAATAAGAGAACCCATAAAAAACCGCTTCATAGCTTTTCCATTCCAATTCGATCCTGACATTTTTAAATATCCACTTTCAAGTTGTGGGAACACTCTTTTGGCTCTAAGCAGACAATCTCATCGACTTAAAAACGTTAAGATACGTTTTCGAAGTTCATTTTTATTACGGAACAGTTTTCTTGTTCTGAAAACCATGAAAAACCCACCTACTTCTTTTCTCGGGATAGGCAGTATGGTGGTACACGTTTTGGCTTTACACTTCAAGTTGAAAAGGGCGCTTGAAACTTCGATAATGGTTATTACTAAGTATTCACTAGTAAAATTCTTATTGTCCAATTTGCAACACAAGGCCGTCGCGTAGGCGTGACCGTGGGCATCAAATATGGCACTATATTAAAAAACGTTGACAAAATTATGTCAAACCAATAACTTAACTGATGTTATTTTGCGCATCTCGAACAAATATAAGTTTATGTTTATTATTTATTTATTATTTATTTCAACATTAGGTTCTAGAATTTTATATTTCCTTTTTTTTTAGTTATTGCTTAGATGGATGGACGAGCTCACAGCCCACCTGGTGTTAAGTGGTTAATGGAGCCCATAGACATCTACATCGTGAATGCTGAGATATGAGCTCTAAGGTCTCAGTATAGTTACAACGGCTACCCCACCCTTCAAACCGAAACGCATGACTGCTTTACTGCTGAAATAGGCAGGGTGGTGGTACCTACCCGTGCGGACTCACAAGAGGTCCTACCACCAGTAATTACGCAAATTATAATTTTGCGGGATCCATTTTTATTACACGATATTATTCCTTCACCGTGGAAGTCAATCGGGAACATTTGTTGAGTACGTATTTCATTAGAAAAATTGGTACCCGGCTACGGCATTCGAACATCGGTGCATCGCAAAATACGAATGCACTGGATGTCTTATCCTTTAGGCCACGACGACTTCAAAAAGCCTTGACAGATGTTCTCCATAGTTTGCGAACTGAAGGTTGGCGCACGCACTCGTTAAGTGGGGGCTTAGTTAGGTCTTTCACCTGATCAGTCCAGCGCATGGGGCTACAAGCACTACCCACTGGATTTATCGCCGGATCATCTCAGTGGGTCGCGATTCCGATCCGGTGGTAGATTCAGCGAAGCACTGCTCTTTCTTTCTAGGGCAGCCGTTAGCAATGTCTCTCAGGATGAGCCCCGTGAACTCGCATACCAGTCCGGTGAAACCAGAATAGCCCCTCGAGGCCACTGGTAATTAGGTGGTGTAAATAAAATGCCACTCTAAAATAATAATGAATTATCATAATAAACAATATTTTAATTTAAATCAATATATGTATTGTACATTTTTGCACAACATTTTGTGTCTATAAATGGCATTGTGAAGGTCAAGACAGGACGAGTAAATTAAATATCAGGTCACATTTACAGCATTCCTTATATTTTATTTATCGTTTTTTAATTAGCGTCATCGGAGCCAAAAGGTCGGATTTTTAGTTTAGACCGGTGATTCTCGACAGAAGCATTACGTTTTTAACAGACTTCAACAAAATGAGGAGGTTCACAATTTGATTGTATTTGTTTTTTATGTTACCTCAGAACCGTCTTCTAGAAGAAACGATTTTGGGGGTTCTATTATTATTTGAAAACTGGTGCTTCTCATGTGTTTCCATTTTACTTTAACAATACCTGATCAGTTAATAATACACATTCAATTGATTCCGACTACGCTGATGATATTGTGATTTTATTTTGTTGAAGGCTGATTTTTTTTCTGTTAGATTTTGTTATTATATAATGTGTATTAAATTTTAAGAATAGAGGCTGTTTTGTTTGCTTGTTCTCTATGCGTCCATGAGCCTAATGTGATTTGACTTGATACGATGGTCGCAGGAAGTGATGCCCGCAAAAATGTAACACTTATAATATTTACGTAGTGATGATAGACCGCGTTACCCGACCGCTTCGGGGGATGATGCAGCGCGGCACCATCAAGGCGGGCCCGTCGACCGAGGGAACCGGCGGTCGTGTCGCCCTTGGCCACCGGTCCGTCGGTTGGGGGACGGCCGGATGGATGTCATATGCTCTACGTCAACCCAATCCCGCCGTCTTAATCCCCCACTGGACTTCAATCCAGGGTTGGCCGCCGGCTCTTAGTGGCAGGAGTTTTAGCGATCCAGTGATTTTCTCACGTAAAAAAACGGCTCTTTAATAGATTGTTATTAGATTAAATCTAAGTCAAAATCTACTAGACGATACCCTTCTGCATATTTCTCTCTAAGCATCAGAACTCTGTCAAGTAATCAAGTACTCCGCTTTAAAAAGCTCTACAGCCGTTATGCAACTAGATTGAGCATATCAGCTTCATGTCTTCAGATGGGCGATGTCATTTAGCGCTTTGGCCATTTGTGGCTCACGTGTTGTCCATCGACGCTAATAAATTAAACTTTTCGACTAAAATATAACAAAAAAATGAAAACTATCAAGAGCATTTATAAAGCTTCCAAATAATATATTTAAAATATCACCTATTAATAATATTTAACAATGACATTTTCTATTTCTTGTAGGTACTTGTTTTTTTTACCAGTCACTAAAGTCTGACGCAAATATTTGTTTTACATTAACAATTAATGTTGGCTTTATAAATAGCGCGCCGGCTGTAATGTTTTTAAAGCGTATTAAGCGCCAAAATTTACTCACAATTCGAACAAACACCAGTTATTGCGCAATGTGTCGAAAACTCAATCATCGTCAAGTCATTCCTGAAGATCTGTTAAGTATTTCCTTCGAAAACTTAGCACCTGCCTGCTTATTGAACACCGGCCCAGTCGCATTACTTAATAGTGCATCATGATCTACACCATCCTAGAGAGCTATACGACTAATGAAGATTAAACATTAGACCTTTTTTTTTTTTTTTTTTGTCAGGAGGAAATCGCCGGACTTCCGCCCTCCACTGAGGAGATAGAGGGCGGAGCATGTCAGAGTCGAACTGACTAAAACCTCCTGTCGCTCAACAACCAACGTCCAAACCTCGCATGAGACAGAACTCATGAAGAGGCAAAGGGGGGAAAGTGAAGCGTTTAGTGCGGAGCACATCTCTCCCATCACCCTCCCCCTCGGGACGCCGGACTGGCGGTCGTCGGCGCCACGACCACCNCAATTAAGACATATCCATGTAGACTTAAATTCTGAATCCGGCGTCCAATCCTTTTTTGCAGGAAGAACACAGCCGATATGATAATAATTTCTACACACTGTACACACCAAGGTTGACTTCTTATTGTCACGAGTATTGACCACTTTATTACAGCAGGTGTACTCCATAATAAATTATAAATTACGAGATTAGATTCAAAGTAATATGAAAGCAATGTATAATTTAGCAAGTAAGTTCAGTTAATTGTTGGAGCAACAGGGCGACGACCAAACGCAGGTCCAGCGACGCAAGTTCACGCCCGGCCACCCGAGTACTTTTTTGAATGTTTATAATTTCTTCGACTCGACACATGTGTATAAT